CAAAAATTTAAGTGCCCGTGCACGAGAACCACGCACGCCTGGGGGCTGAATTCGATAACTTTAAGTTGTAAGTGGATTGTGAACATTGCCTGAAAATTTCAGCTTCCCATCTTTACTAATTCCCGAGTTAGCCATTTCCCCGCCAAAAAATTTCATGGGGCCGTACGTGGGAACCGCGCAAGCCTGGGGGATGAAATTGATGAACTTAAGTTGTACATGGGCTAGGAACATTCCCTGAAAATTTCAGTTTCCCAGCTTTGCTAATTCCCGAGTTAGTCATTTCCCCGCCGAAAACTCTCACGGGGCCGTACGCGGGAACCACGCGTACCTGGAGGCTGAATATGAAATCTTTGAGTTATATTTGGACGGGGAACATAACCTCAAAATTTCAGCTTCCTATCTTTTCGCGTTCCCGAGTATGAATTTTCCCGCCAAAACTTTTCCCCTCTCGTACGCGGGGCCCAGACGTGCGTGAGGGATGGTATTTCCCGCCAAAACTTTCCCTCTCTCGTACGCGGGGTCCAGACGTGCGAGAGGGATGGTACCGCGGCTTTCCCGCCAAAACTTTTCCCCTCTCGTACGCGGGGCCCAGACGTGCGTGAGGGATGGTACCGCGGTCCTGGGGTGGTACTTGGCCGGGGTACCCATTAGCAAAACGTTGCCGAGTTGAAATACCCGGACAGACGAACACACACATACACACACAAACATACACACAACACACACGTACACACATACATACACAAACACACACAGACGGAGTCGTCTCAATATGCGTTTTTGCAATTTGCATATAGGCAAAAACGCATAAAAATGAGTGTTGTGCCACCATATAAAGCACTTGTCTGGCACTAAAACTGCCACTCAGCATCAAGCTTCGAGTATATTCCCGTTTTCTCAAACCATCGTGCACCAGCAGTGATTTTAGTAGTAACAATGAATTGTTGGCACATGATGACGCAATGATCCATGCTTGTTGTCTTTAGTTCCCGGTCTAAGTAATAAAACCGCGGAAGGGGGAGGAGGTGAAGGAGGGAGGAACGAGGAGGGAAGTGTTTCACAATTCGAAGTTATGCACTCTGTAAAATTTATTCGTTTCTTTGATCAGTTGATATGCTGGCAAGTTCCGCTAACTACAGTTTACTTCTCGATTTCACTTTGCTGATGTTGAATGGCATTAGACAAAGATTTTTTTTTTTTCAAATTATTGAAGGCTAATCAAAATATAAAAGTATGCTGGCAAATTTGCTGCTTTCATGCTGTGGCCGAGAGTACAACTCCACTGGCACCGCAACCAATCTCTCTCAGTTTCGTTCATATAATTCAGTGGCAAAGTGATGATGATTACAAATATCGAGGAGAGAAAATCGCCGCAAATCTGCTAGTAAGCACTCCTCAAGTGATGTAACCATCGACAGTCTTGCAAGAAGTGATTGCTGTTGGCATTTGCATTACCGAGTTCAATTCGGTGTGTTTCTGTCTCCTTTAGACAGTCAGTTGGGAAGGGTTCTTGAAAAAAAAAAATACTCACAAACTAAAAGAAACATAAAACATTGAAAGCTATGAAATAGTACACGTCATGGACGAGAACACTTGGGAGAACAAAATCACGTTGCTCGCTTTGATGACAACCGATGAACTCCACGCAGCAGTGGGCAGTATAAGAGGAGGAAGAAAATGTCCGGGTAATAGGTTAGCGTAATTTTGTAGTGCAAAAAGACTACACCCTCAGGTATGAAGGTATTTCTGCACAAAGTGTGAACAATTCAAATTTTGCAGCAGGTACGTTTATATGAACTTAATATTAGCAGACAGTGCATTTGGACTAAAGGGACAGATTGGGGAATTTAGCACAGCGATGCTACATGTAAGTAACACTTAACGCTTTGTTCTGTAAATTCAACTGGCTTTCTTTTAATTACTTTTAAATGGTCTGTAGGCATGGCACGGATGGTGCAGACTTTGTTCTGTGTAGCATGTCGAAGTTCGGACTTCACCGGTGTGACAACCGAGATTCGTTTCGATGGTGAATTAGTATTGCTATGTGCCAGGGAGTCAAACCTGCTAGCAGCTTGCTTGTAAGCAACTTTCGAAAGAGAGATCCTCGACAGCCTAGCAAGCCCGTTGATGCTGCTGGCATTTGCTACCAATCGGGCTATTTGCTGTCTGCCCCCTCCCCTTCAGTGACATCGAAGGGATTTTTTTTAACATTAAAATAAAAAGTATTACATTTTGGGGATGTGCGGCGGTCTCGTTGATTTTGATGAATCAGCTGAACTGGTGCTTGGTAATTCGACTTCCAGCGATCTTGCAAAACTAAAATATATAGCGATGCTCAAACGTCGGCAAAAGATAGTCAATACGATTAACACTAATCGCATTATACGCAACCAGTTAATCAAGCATCACTACTGGCAGCACAAATCCAGTGCCGGATGAATGCGTCTCTATGAGCGATGTTCC